CTTTCGAGGGTCGTTGGCTGCTTCAATTGTACCGTTTGGCTGGCGAATGACAACTAAATATTGAAAGAGACAGAAAAAGAATCGTTCAATAGTCCACGAAAGCGTGATCGGGTGCTTTCCACTAACAAAGAAGAACAGAAACACGTACCATGCGCCGTCGAACCCGTGGTATCCTCGTATGTGATATTATACCCCATCTCCCTGAAATACGCTACGGTAGCATTATCATACCCAGGAATTCCTACATTTTCCGACTTGTACTCGAAATACGTGTTACCGTCAAGCTGATCGTGCCAACGAGAGTGGTGGACACAGAGGGTAGAGTTGAGTCCCTGGTCAATATGGTGGTACAGGTGTTGGAGAGTGGCAGTAATGACTAGAGAGATAGAGGGATGGAGCGAAAAAGGATAGGATGCGACCCATGTAAATGAGAACACCTTAAGCAAAAGTAATGAAAACCATACTTCGACTTCCGCCTGCGCTTCCAGTTGCAATGAGGACTTCTCCGGTCCCCAGGTCCTCTGCGATGGAGGAAGAGATAGATGATTGTGGTCGTTTCCCGCCAGCCTAAAGTTCCAGAACAAAATTCAAAAGGAGATATCACTCGGGAGAACAAATTACAAACGATGTAGTTGGCTGGTGAAGCACTGAATCCGAAATCGTTAATTTCTCCCGGAGAGGAGAAATCACCCATCTCATCGTTGAGGATAACTCCATCGGCAGTCATTAAATATGAGCCCCAAAAATTATTGCTGTCCAATGAGGAATGTAAGCAGGTTTTATTACAACAAGCTGAAGAAACTTACACAGTCGTCGTCAACGAAATCGCCATCCCATCCTTGTCAATCACCGCCATATGCGAAGTGCCATTGTCGATTAGAACCTGATAGTTCTCTGGGTTATAGTAAGGCACAGGAAACGTCTGATTATCCGCAATCTTGCTCCGCGTTTCATTCACGACAGCTTCAGTAAGGAAATATGCTTCGAGCTCAGTGACATTCGGGGTGAAAGCGGGATCACCGTATTCAGTTCTTTGTCCATATGCAAAGCGAGTGGCTTCAACTAGTCGATGAGTGGTTAGATTGATGGCGGGATCGCTATGAATGACAGTGTTAGGCTGCGTTAGGACAAATCAAAAAAGCGTCTCAATGAAACGCCCACCTGTCTGAGGCGTTCCCGTTAAAGCCCTCAAATATTTTAAGTGCGCTAAGCACCACGGTGCCACTAGACGGAGCCACAGTAGAGAAAATCCTTGTGTTACGATATGTGATATTTCTAGGCTGTCGGACTATTGCTCTGTACCCAGCCAGATCGTCAGTGGTCATGATCCCATTACTCTGATACACGGTCGAAGCGGTGTTGACGGCAATTTCACCCGTATAAAACGCGTCGACGCCGTATTTCGCGATCTTCTCCAAGGTATTGGCGTACCTCTGGTGTTCGCACGCAATCAGATTATGGAAACACAACTTAGGACAATGATAGTCACCTTGCGATAGCAAATATCGCCTTCTACAAGAACAGTACCATTCGGAGCGTAAGATTCAGCCCAGATAGCATCCTGCGTAATGAAATCCACTCCTTGCAGGGCAGCCGCAAGGTCCACGTTGACCTCAAAGCCGTTTCGCGCAAGGTTAATAGCTGGCAAGACAAGATCTTCCCAAGGCTGGGATCCGTGCCTAGTCAACAAGGATACATTATTAATTTGTACCTGTTACCGGCTTCAATATTACTGACCGCTGATGAAGCATCTCCCAGCCACGTAAATCCCCCGGAACACCGACAGAAAGACCGCCCAAGAACGAAGCGTCTGGATTGGAGTTGTTGACATACATGTATTCAGTACCAGCAGCAGGCATAGTTTCTCTGAAGTCGATCATTTCGTAGTCGTGGTTGCCATCGTCCTTGTTAAAACGGACGAGCATGAATCCGCCTCCGCCGATTCCCTGTAAGAATACAGACAACGCAAGATTAATGGAGAAACCGGCTAACATTGACGCGCTCAAAACGTACCGAATGGTAAGCAGATATCACACCAACGCAAAGACCTGACGCGATGATCTACGTATTAAACACGGATTGTCAGCCATGCAGAGTGTAGGTAAGAGCATTCCCAGCGACAAACTGCGTCAGCTGCATTCCCCCCTTGCTGAAGAATGTTAATTCCAATATCCGTGCATGGTGCTATCAAATCATTGAATTAGCTTGGAATTAGCCGCGAGATATTTTTAGTGATCAACTCCAGCATCATACACACCAGCTTCGGTCGCAATACCTCCATGGGGTGCAGTTTCTCGAGATAATACCGTGCTAGCAGCAGTAGCGGTTTGAATAACAGACCAAAAGATAGAAGCACCGAGGAAGAGAGTGAGCCATTCGGCGAGTCCAAGCTGACCGGTGAGCATCTCTATATTCGGTTGGGGTGGAGAGAGCCTGAGAGGAGACGATTCCAGTGTCACACTTCGTGTGCTTTATATATTTGAGGTTTTACCCCTTAACTCGGAGCAACCATTATTGCATCAAATGAGCAGCCATTGAAGGCTAGTGTTGATGTTCGGGCTGGAATATAGGCCGCGGCGGCTGGATTCATTGAATGCAGGACCAATCGGTAGCAGCATGTTTTAGTGACAGTGCATATTTTGACGATTCTGACATCCTTATTGATGTTGCCTGTGTCTTGTAGGCGATGCGAGGCACGATGTCAAATCGTACAGAAGATCCTCCAAGTTCGGGAGTCCGAGCAAATGAGGACCACAAGCTTTCTAAATTTGTGCATTTAAATGCCTTTCTGCTTCCGTTCCTATGTTTGGCAAAGAGCCAGCGTGGCTTTTATTCAGACTCCGAGAAAGCACCATTCTTGAGGGCGAGCCAGGAATGAGTTTTCAAGCTCTTGCGCCATCTAAGAATCCTATCCTCAGCTAAAGCAGATGAGAAGGATAGGCTGGAACGGAGAGGTATTGTTTCAAATACATCGTCGGCCGTATCACCTTTGGCATTCAAGGCACGATGGGGGTTGCTGTAAGGTTCTGATTACATGATTCACTGTACTTTCCCACAGTCTCAAACCTCCGAACTCAGCCCTTTAGACTCTTATGAGGATATGTCATGGATTGATATGTATTGGGATAATCTAATGAGCGAGACTGGCACGACGTTCATGCTGCGTTCAGATAAATAGGAAAAGGCCATACAATTACTTGACATTACCATGACAGTCTTAGAAAATACGCCACCGAGCGACTTAACAGGTGATACATAGGCAGGAGTGGAGCGTCTATTTTCCGTATACGGGTTTTGTTTTTTTGGCGATAAGCTTATAAGTTATTCGGCCTCAAGTAGCTGTTGGACTGATTACATAGAATGGCTGTATGAGCTGTTTGAATGGCATCCACCGTAGATAGCTGAGTATCCTAAGTGTACAACCAGCTGGCTCATTATGATGCATCACCCTTCGCAGCATACATCTCGTTATACAACTTTACCCATGCCTCAGGTGGATTTGTAGTCGCAACCGCCTTAACAGTTGAAGAGGCTAGGTACGCAAATATACCATTCAAATATGCCAAATTTGTTTGTGGGACTCCGACATCCTTGTGCAACGCCGGCACTTCAGTGAGCAGACCTTGGAAAACCTTGGCCTTCTGCTCTGGGGAGGTGAATGAGGCTTTCTCGCCAAGGTCTTGGAGCGGGACCAATTTTCCTCCTACTGTCCTCGGCTCCTCTACTCGTGAAGCCGTTAGAGTACCAGAGGGCCCTGAGTGAGCTTGGAATCCGTCTGTGCCAAGAAATAAGGCCCAGTCTTCATCCGCAGTGACCTTAGTATCTGGTCGGATTATTGATCCTGCTTTACTCTTTCGCATGAGTCTGATTGGGACATTTCTGAAACGGCCTAGACGAAAAGTTAAGATAGGGCAATATGTGGAAGATCAGAGGACTCACGGTCGTCTCGTTGCTCTAATTGTTCATACGAGGAATTGGAATGTTCAGGGGTTATAATCAACGGAGAGGAGATCACTCCAAGAAAAGCTGTGAAGACGACGAATATAGCGAATAAGTGTGAGGGGAGGTGTAACATCACAGCAGGGAGAAGTTGAGGCGGGCGAACTAAATGAGAGCAAGGTAAGATCTGGACTGGAGAACGCATTGTGAAGTGGATATTCGTACCACTAGACGTATGAGGATCAATGCAATTGTATACTACGGCTTGGGCACTAGGGCTTTCAAGTTTCTGTTGAGTAACTGTGCCAAGACAGAACCGTTAGACATAGAGTCGACATCGAGAGATTCGAGCGAAAAATAATTAATTTGAAGATAGAGACACATACCGGACCAGCGTTACTCGAGAGTGGTTCAACCTGAGGAACTGTTATCTTGTTCACGTTTTCGCCCTTTTATACTGCTCGTTTACTTTCTCATACTCCCGAGTACTTGAAATAGGTACCAACATAACGTCGCTCTGATACGTCCGAAGCGGGTACTTCAGTGAATGACGGACCCTTGACCGAGCCAGCAATCTTACAATTTCTAATTGAATATCCTAACTCGAGTTTTCGATTTTGATTTTCCCTTGGGCCCCTTCAATGGTGAGTTGGTGTACGAAGATATTCAAGGGAATTCAACTTACGGTACCGAGTAGATCATATAATCTCAATCGCTCAATTGCAACAGAATGTACAGGTTGTCTGTATACTTATCTCGATTCTCCAGCTAACAAATAGCCTAAAATGAGAAATCAATACATGCTCAGTGAAAAGGGTTTCGGAAGGGATTGACAAGGTCAATAAGGGCTACCAGAAGAAGTATAATGAAGATACCTCTCGAAAAAAGTACTTACAGAAGAGTACATCCTCACACAAAGGCGGGAATGTCTGAAGTGAAACACTGAGCGGGAGCGGGACGAGGCCTGTGCCAACTTAATATTAGTTGGCATTGGTAATGTATAATTGAAGGATACCAACAGCGAACCAATGTGTAGGTGCATTACTTCCTCTCTATTCTGTGGTTCGGTGGCGTAGTTGGTTATCGCATCTGTCTAACATTATTTGCTTCATCAACCTGAAGTTCCACAGAAGGTCCCCAGTTCGAGCCTGGGTCGAATCATGTTTTTGTTTTAACTTGTAATTTGCCTGAACAGCTTTCTGAATTCCGACGTCACAAAAAACCCTTCATTATCCTTTGTATTTTACTGATTATTTCCTAGAACGATACCCCGTTTTTAGAATGCTCTACCTTCTACTAACATACGTGCACCTTCTGTTCGCCGTCTGCTGAGATGGTAGGTAAGAACGTCACTGGGAGCTGCCGCAAACGAAGCAGCAGGACTGGAGATTACAGAAGGAATGAACAAACCGCTCCTTTGACTCATATGGTTCGTATGGTACGACTGAAAGTCCCTGGCAGTATTAGGTGTAAGAGGGATGTCTGAAGGAATATCAGGAAGTGGACGGGTAGGAGGAGACGTTGCCGTAGCTGACAAGCCTCGTGATAGGGAGCGCCTGCGAGAAGTAGGTCTTCTCGTGTGAGCGCTACGCGATCCTAAACTGTTACTTCTTCCCCGTGTTGTCGAAGCGGCCGGGAAGGAGGGAGGTAAGGAGGTCTGTCTCGTCTCATCCGCGAATACAAAGTGGACTTGACCGCGAGCAGGGGGCTCCCGATCCGGGACATAAGTAGATGGTGGAGTTGGGATTAATGGTGGGAGAGAATTCGTCGATTCTTGGTGGTTTAGGAGAAGAGCGGTTGATGCAATAGGAGCAGTGAGAAGAGAAGACGGTGGGGCAGCAGCGAAAGGATCAGTGGGAAGCAATGAAGTGGATTTTTCAGATTTTGAAACGGCAATGACATTGTCATCTTCTACCGGAAAGTCAGCAATTGCTGGGAACGTCAGATCCCTCCCGCCTGGCTGACTTTCGGACTTTTTGTCGTGAATGTGTTTGGGATAGGGATTATCGAGCGTGAACGGGTCTTGAGGGAGAAGATTGACAACAGACTCGTTAACAAGTTGAGGTTTGCTGATAGAAGCGTTGATATTAGTTGTTGTATCGAAGGTACTTTGAGACCTGTTGCTAGACCTGATGGAACTAAGTAGGAATTCGGCCCAAACCGAATCATAACGTACCCTTCCGCACTTTCAGTATCTCCATCGGCATAATGCACGATCCCTCTATCATCTGCTCCCACCGCCGTCCTCTCAGCTTGGAACCAACAATTCCTCCTTCCACCACATCCAAATAGTCTCCTATATCTCCTCCTGGCCTCAGTCGCAAGCCCAAAGGTCACGAAAAACAAAAACGCGAGCCCGACAAAGATCCAACGATTAGCCTCCAGTAGAAGCTCCGTCATCATATCTCCACGCCACTCTTTCTCGTTATATACATTAACCTTCTTGATATTGAGGTGGGTCGAAGTCCAGGATTCCCAAAGTGTGAAGGATCCCAGAGTGTCACTGGCAGTTGCGTTGAAGTATACAGCGAAGGCGGCGTAAGCGATGCTGCATAAGATAGAAATGCCTCCAAGGGTAAGAAAACAAGGGAACGACGCAGAAAGTGTCGTTCGATGGTGAAACGTGGGTGAATATTGAGTTTCCAACATGTACTTGTACACACGGTGATAGTTGATGCAAGCCAAAACTAAATCCAAGTTAGAATGGCAGATCGGGGTTGAAAGACGAGAACGTGCGCACTGAAAAAAGTCGTAGATGCAATGCCAAGGAGAAATTGAGGCGCCAGGAGTAGAAGGTACATCAAAAGTACATTATCAGACGCTGCACGACAGCCAACGCCCTCGTAGATGTCGAAACGTCGATCTAGATAGAATCAATCAGTTACTACGTCTGTTTACATGACGTCGTAAACTCACCTTGAACAAAATATTCTGAAATGGTACAGGAGAATTGGTCAGCTTCACAATCCCTGTTAGAAGCAGAGGAGGAACTCACGGAACGTCATCTCCAGCACCGGAATGCCCAATCCCAGTAGCAACTCGATCACGAACACACTCCTTTTCTACAAGAACTCAGCATTTTAGGCAAAACGTTCGAGCGAAAGTCGTGTACCTCTAGAGTTCTCACTCGATCCGAGGCAACGAGCCAAAGCCGGAGATTAAGGCATAACGATACAGATGAGATAGCGGCGTTTGCTCCAATCAAGAATTTTGAAGCTGAAATGAAAACTTGAGATTGTTGACGGGTAGGAGATAAGTATTGCTACTCACAGATATCGCACCAAATCGGTGCAAAGTTGGAGGTATTTCTCTTCCAGAAGAACGAATCCATAGAAAGAACGAGGCATGCGAGGCCTATCCAAGCCATAAAGAGGCAAGTCCCCGTGTTCCTCGCTATAGAGTGGAGAAAGATAGAAGGGGTCTGTAAGTCTAAGCAGGAGGAACAGAGCAGAAAAATGGAGTCGGTGGAGAATTTAGGGGGCACGATTGAACGCATCTGTTCGTTCAATCCAAGTATCTATCTCTGTCAAGAATATCGGACCCAGGAATCCATCTTCGCCGCACCAACAGACCTGCCAAAGAAACGCTCACCTTTCAAATGCCAATAAAAGGGGATAAATACTATAACGAATGCAGAGAGGGAAAGTCCGAAGAAAAGAGTGTTGATATCGATATTGACAGCGACCATTCCGATAGTAAAGCGTATGACTATGATTGAGTTAGGTTCGAGAATTTGGGTAAAAGAGTAGACAGCAACAAAGGAGCAACATGTAACAAAAGACAGGCTGGATAAAACGACAGGAAGGGATAGGAAAGGCCGGCCGTCCGACGTGGCACGTCGTGAAGCAGCGGGATTTATACTATCAGACCTGTGCCGTGCTGAGTTCCCTGGAGTCGGGAGTAAGTGTACCGCGGTGGAAGAAGTGTTGGAGGTAGGGAGAATCAGAGATCTAGTCGCGAATGAGTTGTATCATGATTTATATGTTGGTCTGCGCCAATGAAATGTGTCAACGAGTCTCATTTGGCTGTTCAAAGAGCAATTCAATCTCACCTTAACGAGATACGAGCTGTATATGCTATGTGTGATAGATACATGATGTTGACAGCTCGAAATAGAGCGGTTTTATGAGGTAGTTACGCTCTATTACGCCCCGGTTCCTGAATAGAGAGGCGGAGGAGGTTTGAGCAGCATGGTAAGTATATCACCGTAATCATCAGCATCAAGATGGGGCGTTGAGTTGAATTGAACTGTGGCTGGGACGACGTGGAAACGAACGAACTTGTCCGTCGTGATATGGTGAGATATTCCATGCTTAGACAGGTTTTGTTGTGAGCAAAGGTCTTTCATCGTCAAGTGCGAGTTCAACGTCGTTGGTTGATATCGAAGGTTATTGATCATTGTTGGTGAATGGAGGCGGTACGGTTAGCTGAATGTGCAGGCCCATCCTGAACTTCATATTGGCCTGAACGTAGCATAGAGACAGAAACTTTTGGCAAGAGGGCCGAGGACAAATTCTTGTAGAATGGATAGGAGTACATAGTCATAGTGTGTATATAAAATTTCAACGGGGCTTAGGTCGCTCCGGGTCAGCCGGCCCGAGAAAGCTTCGAATTGTTCCTTTTGATGCTTCTTGACATTTTACTTGCAGCCATGATTCCTCGTTATCTCTAATAAACAAAAACTACCAGCAAGAAAGAACTCGTAAAATTTCAAGCGAAGCGCAAAATTTCAAGTTTCATTACGTCCCAGCTTTTGGAGTTCTCACATGACTTTCCTATAGCGATTACTCGGAAATCGCCTGTTCCCACTCCCAATTGCTTATAACGCAGCCAAGTTTAGGCTATTATTTTTCCAGGCATTCCCCCCTCCTCACTACACTACTCAACAATGTTCACGAATCGTTGTTCATCTACAGGCGCCTTTTCAGGCGCGTCCGCTCTTTCTAGACGTTCGTTTACCAGGACTCCGAGCCGGTCTCTCGCAGCGCTCGTCAACGGCTTCAAACCCCTCGATGAGCCCTTGCACCTCAGCGTTGACGACGGCTACGGCTTTGCTCGGATAAAGGCAGGTGATATTCTCGGTCAACAAGACAGGTTTTCTGTCATTCGTCGACTGGGATGGGGAATGTACTCAAGTACTTGGTTGGCAAAAGACCATCAGTATGTGTAAAAAAAATCTTACTCGATTAAGATCGATATTTTATTTCGCTGCAGGGATGAGAAGCATGTAGCTGTCAAGGTTCTCACAGGTTTTGCAAGTCGACTCGCTCACGAAGGACTTACCCCTGAGCTGGACGTCCTTCGCAAACTTTCTTCAAGTCCACATGGAGCAGAGCCCAAGGAAGGCCACTGCCTCTCTCTCCATGACAATTTCATTCATCCCGGCCGAACCGACACAGGTCCTCATCTATGCCTCGTTACAGATGTGTTTGGCGGTGATGTAGAGCATCTCAAACGCATCTACGCTCGTAACGGTTTCCCTCTCAGTCTCGCTAAACGTATACTCTTCCATACGTTGAAGGGACTCGAGACAATGCACCAGCAAGGAATCGTTCACACTGATCTCAAGCACGACAATATTCTGTTCGATGGGGGCAACGCAGATCTTGGTTCTGCAGATCCTCTTCCCGTTCCCTCTATCAATGAGGCTCTAGACCGGACCTTTGTGATTGCAGACTTTGGCAATGGTAAGTTTCTATGTTTAAAGGAAGTTCCGTTATTCATTAGGCTATTAATTTCATCACGAAGTGCTGCCACTGATTGATCACCGTTGTAGCCCAGTTCGTCGGCAAACCCACGTTTGACGAAATCACGGCCGAGGCTCTTCGAGCACCGGAAACGTTGCTACGAGGCCCATGGGACGAGAAAGTCGACATCTGGACTTTTGGTTGTTTGGTATGTGTATTTCTCCACGCATTTTTATATAATACCCCAAGCTTAATTTACTTTAACAGGCATTTGAATTTCTCTGCGGCCGTCAATTGTTCAAGAAGCGCTCTTACTCCGAGCACCTCCTTGACGCCGTTGGTGGACATCTCTGGCGCATGCAGTGTTTCACCGATGAGAGATTTGATTCTGATCAATTGAAGAACAGCGAGTTGGGCTACACCTATTTTGATTCTTCCTGTGAGTTTACCCAACTCTCTAAGAATATAGCAATC